TTCTACATGTTCTCATTGGATCCTTAAGTTTTTTCTGTTAGTGTACAATAATCCAATTGGGATTTCCATCTCTATACACAAGAACAATTTGAACTTCAAGTACGAAATGCTTGAAAAGGCCACCGATTTCTTTGATGCCTCGAGGAAATTAGGCCAAGGAGGAGCTGGTTCCGTATTTAAGGGAGTTCTTCCAGATGGTAGAACTGTTGCAGTTAAAAGATTGTACTTCAATACGCGCCAATGGGTGGACGAATTCTTCAATGAGGTGAATCTCATCAGTGGAATCCATCACAAGAACCTTGTTAGGCTTCTGGGTTGCAGCATTGAAGGTCCAGAAAGTCTTTTGGTGTATGAATATGTAGCCAACAAAAGCCTTGATCAAGTCCTTTTTGGTGAGTACTCCAACCTAGCTAGTTATCATCTTAATTCATCACTTCATTGTGTATATACATAACATTAATACCAGTTTACTTACTTCGTGCAGGTAACGACACAAGGCAAATTCTAAGTTGGCAACAAAGATTCGATATCATCTGCGGAATTGCTGAGGGACTTGTGTATCTTCATGAAAGTTGTGGAGTAAAAATTATTCACAGAGACATAAAAGCCAGCAACATTCTCCTTGATGAGAATCTTATTCCGAAGATTGCTGATTTTGGACTTGCCCGATGCGTTGGTCCAGATAAATCTCATCTTAGCACAGGAATCGCGGGGACACTGTAAGAATTTAAGAAATCGCTACCAGTAATTTTGTTCCCCTTCTGATTTTTATGCATATGTTTTACATACAGAACTTACGAAGTAGTTTGATTTTTGTTGTTGCAGGGGATATATGGCTCCTGAATATCTTGTTCGAGGACAACTAACAGATAAAGCTGATGTTTATGCCTTCGGTGTGATGGTTCTTGAGATAGTATGCGGCAAGAAGAAACGCGTTTTCGTAGAGGGTTCAAGTTCGGTTCTCTACTCTGTAAGACTCATCTCCCTTATTTGTTACACTTTGGTACATGTAGTGATATGCTCAATTAAACGACATGATTGCCATCGATTTTATAAGCAAAGTCTCCAACGACGAATTCCAGTATGCATATTTCTCAACACGTAAGTAACATCTTATTTTTTTCCTTATGACATTAGGTTTGGAAGCATTACAAGGAAAAAAATATCACCGAAACTGTTGATCCGACCTTGAAAGGTGGATTCCCCGAGAGAGAGGCATCCGATGTACTTCAGATCGGGCTTATGTGCACACAAGCTTCTCTTGCAGTGAGACCATCTATGGCGGAGGTGGTTCGGATGCTCACTGATGAAAAACACGTTATCCCTTCACCAAAGCAGCCTCCATTTTTGAATGCAAGCATACTCAACTCAGATGCGTCCAAAACTTCTATAAAGTACACTCTGTCACAAACAAGAGATGGAATAGGGTCCCCAGAGTCCAGTACTTTGTGCGAAGTGTGAATGTTGTATTTAAACAAGTAACATAGACAAAAGATGCTGCAAATTATTGATATCCAATGAAAACTTCGACGGTACGAGAGGAATTTCATTGATAACGAAAAAAATGGTTACACTGAATCAAGAAAAACATAAACCTAACCACAATGCCTTTTCAACCAAAGGGCTGAGGCTGCTTGAATTGAATAAGGCCAACGTAAACTATTGAGAATGTACGTGACGGTAAATCATGTACATTCGCAATCCAATAATGCAAGATTATTCAATTAATATGTAATTTACATGTACAATATTTGACAAGAATGGGACGTCACTTTCCATCCAAGTAACTCCCTAGAAAACATATTTTCATGAATTCATAATAGGAGCCCATATACCATGTGTCATAATATAAGTGAAAAAAACAAATTAAGTCATTTCATTTGTATTGCTATACGTGGTGTAACAACCTCATTAAAAAAATCTCTCATCCTACAAGACTAGATAGTAAAAAGAAGTGAATCTACCCGAAAATGCTAAGTACACCAAATTCGTGCATCAAATAATGTGCCGCTAATCAAATTTGTACTTTAATTCAAATCAAAATTTGATCAAGAATGATGCTAGGCACACCAAATTTGTGCAGCTAATAATGTGATACCAACCAAATGAAAAATTATACGATGTAGAATGTGTCACATCATTTGGTGCACAAATTTAGTGCATGAATTTTGTGTGTGTAGCACCACCCTTTGATTATTGTAATTAGAACATATATAGTGTAGAATATATTTCATTTAGTGCACAAATTTAATGTGCAAATTTGATGTAGGTAACACTAGCCGAAATTTAAATGTGCAAATGTGACACCAATAAAAAAAATACGTAACTTACATCTCACTTACCTCTATTAATTGGTCGGTCCAACGGAATATTTGGTGCACGAAATTAAAATATAAATAAGAGGATAGTTCTCATCACGTGGTCCAGAAAATATATAAAATAAAATTACAAGAAAAAAAAAACCCCAAAATAAGAGCCAAAACAGTAGTTGTGTTCCCTTGCCTGACCTACTATTTAATTTGAAATTTTCATCATATAATTCATATTGAAATAATACAGTCCAGAAGCTATCAAGCGATATTGAATACATGACCAATAAAAATAGATTTTAATATTGACATAACTGCTAACTTTGTTACTTGAGATTTGAAATTAGTAGAAGTGGTCATTGAGTTTATTCATCATTAATCATTTTGATCATTCTATGAAAAATCTAAATTAAATAAAGATAAAATGCCCAAAACACCCTCAATTTTTATCAAATCATTTTAGCCAATTGTTTATTAAATTGAGAGTATTTTTATTTTGGTCCTTATTCAATAGAATTTTTATGGAATGACCAAAATGATTGATGGTGGACAAACTCAGGAACCACTTTTATTGAATTCAAATCTCAGGGACCAAATTGAAAAGTTATGCCAATTTCAAGAACCATTTTGGCGAAAAAAGTCTTAAAATAATTACTAGATTGTTGGCTCGTAAACAATAAAGTATGAGATCGTTTCGATATCTAACTGCATAAAAATAAACAGTCGGACACGACGAAAATTGTAACATCCCACATCGCCCAGGGGAGTGATCCTTAAATGTATATTCTCATCCCTACCTAGCACGAGGCCTTTTGGGAGCTCACTGGCTTCGGGTTCCGTAGGAACTCCGAAGTTAAGCGAGAAGGGGGCTTGAGCAATCCCATGATGGGTGACCCACTAGGAAGTTGCTCGTGAGTTCCCAAAAACAAAACCGTGAGGGAATGGTAAGCCCAAAGCGGACAATATCGTGCTACGGTGGTGGAGCGGGCCCGGGAAGTGGTCCCGTCCGGGCGGGGATGTGACAATTTGGTATCAGAGCCAAGTTTCGATCCTGGGACCTGTGGGTTAATTGTCACATCCCCGCCCGGGGTCCACCACATCCTGGGCCCGCTGCACCACCGTAGCACGATATTGTCCGCTTTGGGCCCCGACCACGCCCTCACGGTTTTGTTTTTGGGAACTCACACGAGAACTTCCCGATGGGTCACCCATCCTGGGAATGCTCTCGCGCACTACTCGCTTAACTTCGGAGTTCCCATGGAACCCGAAGCCAGTGAGCTCCCAAAAGGCCTCGTGCTAGGTAGGGATGAGAATATACATTTAAGGATTACTCCCCTGGACGATGTGGGATGTTACAATCCACCCCCCTTAGGGGCCCGACGTCCTCGTCGGCACACACGCGACCAGGGTTAGGCTCTGATACCAAATTGTCACATCCCGGCCCGGGGTCCACCACATCCCGGGCCCGCTCCACCACCGTAGCACGATATTGTCCGCTTTGGGCCCCGACCACGCCCTCACGGTTTTGTTTTTGGGAACTCACACGAGAACTTCCCGATGGGTCACCCATCCTGGGAATGCTCTCGCGCACTACTCGCTTAACTTCGGAGTTCCCATGGAACCCGAAGTCAGTGAGCTCTCAAAAGGCCTCGTGCTAGGTAGGGATGGGAATATACATTTAAGGATCACTCCCCTGGGCAATGTGGGATGTTACAAAAATATTACGAACCGTTTATCTATTTGTTACAATTAATTGACTAAATGACCTTATTTCCAATTGAGTTTTCTAAATACGGATATTGCAGAATGATTTATAATATAAACGATTCCTATTATAAACATGAAATTTCGCAATTCGATCACAAAATATTTTAAGAAAAAACTCCTTAATCTTAGACCATCTCCAACCGAAGGCTAGTCAAATGGCTCGTTTTAGCCCTCTAGCCCTCCAAGAAATAAATATTTTAATGAACAGTGCATGATCATATTCCTTATCATCTCCAATCGAGGCCAAAGGGTCATAGGGCTCGTTTTAGCCCTGTCACAAAAAACCGTTTCTAATCGAGGACCAAAGAGCTATAGTATGGAATGTGAAGAATTGAAATAAAATGAGGTAAGATAGTATGAAATAGTGAAAAATATGTGAGAAATTGTGTAGGAAAAAATTAGAAATAAAAAAAAAATAAAAAAAAACTGTTGGGCATATAAACAAAAAGTGGGCTGGGACATATAAAAAAATCCTAAGCCCTAAACCCTAAAGTGGGCTGGGCAATGGAAAAGAACAAAAAAAATAAATAAATAAAGGGCTAGGCTAATTGGAAAAAAAAAAAAAAAAATTGAAATTGGGCTAGCCAGCAGGCTGGCTGAAAGTGGCCAGTCGTTTGGCCTTTTGGCCATTTCAGATTCTGTGGGGCCCACGAGCCATTTGGCCTAGCCTTCGGTTGGAGACAGTTTTCAGACGTTTTTCGGCCTTTTGGCCCTATGGACCATTCGGTTGGGAATGGCCTTAGAGCAATTCCAATAGGCTAAATGCATCTCTGCCCCTAAAAAATAGCCTAATCAATTTTATTAAAATATTATTATTTTTATTATAAAATAATAAAAATAATAATTTTATTTTTAATTTCTACGAGGAAGCAAGCAAACATTGAGCAACTGTTTTGCTTTCTCATCTACTTTCCATGGCTACAACTATTTTGCTCTCTTTCTGACGAGCAAGCAAACTCTGGTGACAATGATCACAAAGCAAGACACAATGAAGAAAAACAGAGTCACAAAATCCCTTGCATTCCACTTCCTCACCACCTTCGCTTCGACTCTCAAACTCTTGGCCCTCCTCAGTGCGTCGACCTCCTTCAACAAATCGAACTCCAATCCCTTCTTCTTCAGCTCCTCAATGCACTTTTCTAGTAGGTTCTTATCCTCATTTTCTTTCTCCAACAACTTCTCCAGGTGCTCCTCCGTGTTGCTTTTATACCTTATCGCCCAAATGATCCCCAGCGAGAAGCAGAGAAAGCAGAGTGACGAGATCCAGGACTTGTGACTGTGGGTCTCGCGATGAGGAACTAAAGAGAAGGGTGAGAGCTGTGCAGTGGAAAAGGAAGAAGAAGATGAAGAACATTGTGATCTCATTTCGAACTAAGTTGATTTGGGACTCATTAATATTATGATTTCAGCTTGCTGATGTCATACGGGCCGGTCCATGACTCTGTCAATTTTGGGATGCCCTGGAGACTAACTTGGACTGGGTGCCAGCCTATCTGTTGGGTTAGAGTGGACTGGCTGGGTGCCGAGCCAATAATTTGGCTAGGTGTTGGCCTATTTGTTCCCCGATGTAACTGCTCTTAAGGAGCCAAATATTCATCCGTGACAATAGAGCTTGTGTTTCGCATATATATTATTGAACTATTCTAATTAAGAGGTAAATTGGGTGTATTTCGCTCACCAGTCTTAAGTGGTGATAATGCTCGCCACCATATTTATCACTGTTAGATGAGTTTAACTTTTGAGATATGTGTCTATCCACTACACAAATATGGAAATATAAACTCATCTAACAATGATAAAATTAAATGATGAACATCACCATTACTTAGACCATCTCCAACCGAAGGGTCCAGATGGCCAGAGGGTCGAAAATAACCCGAAACCGTCTCCAATCGAGGGATAGGCCAAAGGGCCCCACTAGACAAAAAAAGGCCAAAAGGCCAATCGATTGGCCCAACTCAGCCAGCTAGCTAGCCCTGGGCTGGCCATAATTTTCATTATTCATGTCGGTTATATCTGACAACATTGTACTTATTCTTGTCGATTATAGCCGACAAGAATGGTAGGCCTTTTTAATTTTTATTTTTTACAAATTTTTAAATTTTTTTATTTAATTCTTTTTTTTTCCCTATAACTTCCTAAGCCATTGTATAACATTAAATTAAATTAAGTAACATGAAACAACATTAAACTTAAATAATAAATTATATTTGGCCCTATGACCCTCGGTTGGAGACGGATTTTTGTGACAGAACTAAAACAAGCCTTATGGTCCTTGGTTGAAGATGTAGGCAAATATGATCATATATTATTAATTAAAATATTAATATCTTGGAAGGCCAGAGGGCTAAAACGAACCCTCTAACCCTCGTTCAGTTGAAGATGGCCTTAAAAATGTTGAGCAAAAATATTTCCGAGGTAAAGGGCAGATTCGAATTGGGCACGAACACTCATCAATTGGCAGTAATGTTGAGTCCGCTTGGAGAAAAAAGAAATTGGGCCTTAAAACCGATGGACTAAAAATTGAGCCCAGCCTTGAAACCAAAGCAAAAATTTGGCGCATATCTGAAAATATCATTTTCTGGGAAATTCGAGTGGTTGACGGAGATTGGGAATCTCAGAGACTCGGCAACGAAGACTTGTAGCTTTACCAAAACAAAAATACCATCGAAGCGACTACCAGCGTTGTCGTCTTGGAAGCCCGCAGCTGCAGCCATGACTTTGAGCTCTGACCCTCCGGCCCCTCTGCCTTTAGAGTGGAAATTCTCTCAGGTCTTCGGCGAACGAGCTCCCGGAGACGACCTTCACGATGGTTATACTCTCTCTCTATGTATGTATGTATGTGTCTAGGTATGTATATACGTATGTATGTTGTGTTATTGATTGAAATATTCATTTTTCCTGCTTATGCTGTGTTTGGTTACTGAGAAAGTTTTGGAAAATGGAGATGAATTGCGATAATTTTACTTTTTTGCTTCTTTTGAGCTGGGAAAATGTATAAATTACTTTAAAACTATGGTTTTAACTAGTTGATTTTTTGGTTTAAATGGGAATGAGATGTCGGTTTTAGTTTTCCAAAGGTTAATTCTTTTCGAAACCAAATGAAGAACTTGGATTTGTTTTGTTTATGTATATTTTAGTTACATTGCTTACGTAGAGAAGTAAAGAAATGAACTCCAGAAGTGATGCTTTTTCGTGTAGGTGATATGATATCCGCAATTGGATTCGACAAGAGTGGTGATTTCCTTGCCATTGGAGATCGGGGTGGCCGATGTGTGATATTCGAGAGGAAGGATGGGAAACATGTGAGAATTGCCAACACGCTTTTATATCGTTCAGGAAAAATTTAAATGGACATTTTTCAAATATGAATACTTTTGAATTCACTTGGGGCTATCTTCCTTGTTAGGCTGGCATCTAATGTTGGATGAAATTGGGTTTACGTTCTTTTTACCCTTAATTGTTAATTGGCTTCGTAGACTTTAAATCTGCAACACCCTCGCCATAAATTGGAGCAGCTGGATTTCACGTCCACCCAGCATCCTGAATTTCAGTTTAAGACTGAGTTTCAGAGTCATGAACCTGAGGTATGTTTTAAAATCTTGTATTTAATGATCCACCATGTATGATACGCGTTGATACCTAAATTGGGTAATACCGGTGCATGTGTTTTGTTCTGTCGCTTCTATTTGTGCAATGGGGATGATTACGTTATCATGCTATTACGTTTTACTCAGTTTGACTACTTAAAGAGTGTGGAGATTGAAGAGAAGATCAACAAAGTAAGATGGTGTGCAACATCTAGTGGATCCCAGTTCATGCTTTCAACAAATGACAAGACGATAAAACTGTGGCAGGTATGAATTTTTCTAATTAAATCATTTTACTTAAAATGATGGACACTTGCTGTTAGCCAATGGAGTTGTGTTCTTGAATGAAAAGATGCATCAGAAAACCAAAAATCAGAAAAATTAATGTGCCAAGTGATTATACATGAGAAAACAACAGTGAAGAAACAAAGATAGAGCAGTTTGTGTTGAAAAGAATGCTACTTTACGTGTTTTATTGTCCAACAACAAGAAATTATCACAACCAAATTAGAGGCATATCACAGCTCTGTTAATATTGCATGTCCACTTTTGACTTGTTTGTTTTCTTGTTTCTGGGAACAGGTTAAGGAATCCAAGGTGAAGAAAGTAAAAGAAATGACCCCTTATCCACTGGCATCTTCGGATAATATGCTTCTGGCGGAAAGGAGTTTCATCAGCAGAGAAGATAAACCACCTTTTCCTAATGGCTATCGTCGGGAATGGATAGAGAAGATGGCTAAAAACATGTCATCTTCTGAAGACATGCATATGAAGGTTAGTACCCGTGCGTTTTAGTTAAATTTCTTTCTATCTGTTGGCATAGCTCTTGTGTTGTAACTTGTTAGAATCACTTTTGCACCGTGTTCAAATTTACTATTTATAACTTGTTTATGTGACTAGGTTGCTGACATTGAAGACAATGCTCAAACAAGATGCCGAAAGGTGTATGCCCATGCTCATGATTTTAATATTAACTCCATCTCAAATAATAGGTAAAGTTTGTGGATAGCTTTATTTCAAAATCAGTATCTCGTCTAGCTAAAAATTTCCTCTGCCAGAAAAATTATGATATTCAGAAGCCACTTTGTTTATCCACTATGCAGATGCACCTTCGTGTATTTTTTTCCTTATTTGGTTGCCCTTATTGCTTCTTTAAATTGCCGAAATAACATGGATTTTATAAAGTAGATAGTTTTAAACTAAATGTATAGCATCTAAAAGATAATCTGCTTTAAACCCTTGTACAGCGATGGTGAAACATTTCTTTCTGCGGATGACCTTAGAATAAACTTGTGGAATCTTGAGATCAGTGACCAGTGTTTCAATATCCTTGATATGAAGCCACCAAACATGGAGGACCTTACTGGTAGTCTACCCTTTGTCTTTACATCTTATAATTTCTATGAACGCCTATATTTATGTATTCAATTGAATATGCTTAATATCATCCTAACATTTCATTTTTTTTTCGGATGATGATATGTTCCATTTGTGGGAAGATACTGATCAAGATATAGGTTAAAATTGTGGGAAAGATGGTTTGGAATTGAGTTAGAATGTTTGAGATAGAAAGATTAAAATTTGTATGTTTTCAGAGAATTGAATTTTGAGAAAATTTCAGATTCTATAAAGTTCTAAATGGTTCTCCGTCTTTCAATTTAGCCATGGCATTAGGTTTTGCTTCCATAATTTTTGACCGTAGTTCCTTACTTATTTATGATGGGACACTAACCAACAGGGGTGTCAATGTCTGACCAACCTGTTCACTCAGTTTTGAAAAACAATTCCTGTGCTGTACCAATGTATCTATCAAATGAAAATATATGCTGATGATGAATTATTATCCAGAGGTCTTAACAGCGGCTGAATTCCATCCCATTCATTGTAATCTGCTTGCATACAGCAGCTCAAGAGGTTTTATTCGTTTAGTTGACATGCGGCAGTCAGCTTTATGTGATCACAGTGCAAGAATGTGAGTCTAATCACAGTTTCTGTTGGTTTTTGTGATCTGTGTGTTATTAGTTTTGATATAGTGCACGAGGATGTACTGATACTCGTTATTTGGAATTGGAGGGATTGACAGATTACAAGATGGAGATTCCCATGTGCCAAAGTCATTTTTCACGGAAATTATTGCATCTATCTCTGATATAAAGTTTTCGAAGGATGGGCGGCACATCTTAAGTCGCGACTACATGAATCTAAAGGTGCTTTATTTTGGTTGAGGTTTACTTTTAGATTTTGGATTTTCCTTCTAAAAATGTGATGCTTATAAAGTTATGTCATCGTCAAGTTTATGATGGCATTTTCAAAGTTCTTCTGTTGGTGCAAATTTGATTTGATTGCTGCTTATGTTTCTGTTTTAGATCTGGGATATGCATATGGATTCTTCACCAGTTGCAATATACAAGATTCATGAACACCTGCGCCCTAAGGTAAGCGGAGAAAAACCAACGTTTTGGCTCCAAGAGAGGTTCTTGGATAATTGGAGCATAAACTTCCTACATTAAAATATCACCAAGTTAATTTTTGAAACCTGTGAACTGAGTTTCAAATGAATTGAATGGGTGTCATTATGATTCAACGTGTCTTTGAACTAGGTCCCTTACCCAGTTGCCCTTGCAGCAGACATGTGGTATCGTTGGCTTTTACTCATAAGTTCATATATACAACCTTTCATGACCCCATCTCTATCGTCCCTACTGCTGACAGCCTTTTTCTCCTATGCAGTTATCTGAGTTGTATAACAATGATCGCATATTTGATAAATTTGGATGCTGTTTCAGTGGAGATGGACTTCATTTTGCAACTGGGTCTTATAGGTATGCCTTTTTGACAGGATCTCACATATTAAGTCACAGTACCGTTGTTACCAATCAAAATTGTGGAGTTGTATTTGCTTGCTTTTGCCCAACTGTTACAACTTTCTTTTATTTTGACTTAGCAACCTCGTGCGCATTTTTTCCCATGGAGATGGAAGTGAAGGAGCTACAATAGAAGCTAGCAAAACTCCCAACAGGTCTGTCCTAATTCCCTCAAATTGTAATTTGTCGAGTTGGTGCAATGGAACCTTATAGTCAAGCGGGCAGGGTTCATTTTCCCAGGACAACTGTTCGTTGTTGGATCCTCTTCCAGAAGTAGATATCTCCTTGGGCTTGAGGGGTTATGAAATTTTTTTTCAAACTTTCTATTTAAATTTTCTCAGTGCAAAATGGTCACTTGTTCCTTACAAAATGGTGTACCATAATACTCGAGAGTCCAGATTGTGAAACCAAGTCAACCCTTACTTAAAACTGTACATAATTTCAGTGCTATACAGATGCAAGTTATGTTTTACTTATTCTCTGAACCCTTTACTTCCCTTCTAAACTTGAAAGCAGGAAGCCAATTCTCCAGACTGCTCCAAGGGCAAGGAGGTCATCCTTGAGCAACCTGGCAAGAGGATTTTACCGGCATGGTTGGGCTTCTGAACCTCATTATATTCCCGTGCATTTTTCTTATATAGAATGCATCTATCAGCGGATTGAAACACGTACTTCTTCTGAATTTTCAGGGCATGAAAATTCAAGCTCGGGCGGTAATGACAGTAGTTACGACCTAAGCTCCAAGATTCTACATTTGGCATGGCATCCAGAAACAAACTTGATTGCTAGTGCTGCTGGGAATAGCTTATTCATGTATTATGCATAGATTTGTGTACAGTACAGTACTACAGTTACAATTTAAAGTAAGGACAGGGCTATTCACAACCCATTATTACCACTCACATGCTCTTGTTGATTCTTGGCTACTGTTCTTCCTTAATTTATTCGGTCCCACGGCCGGAAATTGAGAGGGATGTGTTAGAAATAAAAATAGGTGTGTGAATAGCACTGTCCCAAAGTAATTGTATAAAAGTGTCAGCTTTTACTATATATTATAGGCAGTAATTTTGAAAGTTGGAAATTCCTAACCCCAACTGTGTAATTGTGACTAAACAACACTCTTATTTTATCGTGCTAATAACATCTCTAAGATCTTATGGAAATCAGAAACCTATATTTCCTTAATCTTGTGAAAATTGTGAGCAAAAAGATTTTATTGGCTTTACGAGCCAATCTATTTGGTCATGCACTCGTGATTATATGAATGAGGACTATTATTTAGTCGTGGATGATTTCACACTCATTTTTTCTCCGATGCACTGGGGAGGGCAAACGGAAAAACAGAAATTCATAAATCATTTTGCTTTAGTCATGCTCATGTGTTATGAGAGATTATACGAAAACAAACACGGCTACTCTTTTAGATTTGTTTCCTCACGAGGAAAGCTCTTGAGATTATCTGAAGTGACAAGAAAAATGAAACAAAGAACTACAAAAGCTCTAAGAACTAGTTCTATCTAGATGGGTTGTGTTTTTTATGTTCGTGTTATTTTTGAGTCATTTTCGTTATTTTAATTGGTCGTATTATGTCAAATTCGTAATCTTAACGCGTTCTTATCGGGTTCTTAATGAGTGACCCATTAACCACCCAACTCATTAACGAATTCTTAATATGTGACCTGATAACCTCTTACTCATTAACAAGTTGACCAAAATTTATTATTTTTTTGTTATTTCGTATCTAGTTAACAATAGAAATCGCCAAACCTAGTGCAATGATCAAGAAAAGTAAAACAACAAATCGAAATTATGATAAGTTGAGAGTTCGATATTTGTCTTGCTCCACCGACTCATGACCCTTTAACATGAGCATATTCCCTTTCATATGACACTGATCTATAATGTGCTTTTGACAAATGCTACTGTATACTTCACACGCATATTTTACATATATGCATTACATGTCACACCTACTATGCCAAGAGATAAGGGAAAGGGATCTGGATCCCTACCACCAAATTCTCCTTATCAATTAATTCGAGTTTTTGAAATTTGATTCAACGGTTACAAATAAAGGCCAAAGTTAAAATAACTTTAACCATTAGATTAAATTTCAAGAGTCTGAATTATTTGATGAGGAGGATTTGACGGAAGAGCTCTGGAGAAGATCCCTTTCCAGAGATAAGCATCCAACTTGCAGATTTGTTTATTATTTGGGCAGCTCAGACACCGCTGCCCAAAACCCTTCCTTCCATGCCACAAACCTGCCCGTTTGCCCGAAATCCCCTCACCAGTTGCCCTAGAAGACCCTAATGCTCTCAGATCCTTTATATAAACCAAAGCAGAGCAAAATCCTCTTCATTTCATTTGCATAGCCTCCTTGGTCTTCCTCCTCCCTCCTTTGTGCGTTTGTATGCCATTAGGGTTTATCTTTTCTTTCTTCCGCAAAACATGTTTTAGTTTAATGATGCTTTGATTATGGTCTATTTCTCTCATTACCGAGGCCGTCAAACGTATTTTGATGTTTGATCAATTTACAGCTCGTTTGATACTACTATCTTTATCAATTTTCGATTGTTGAAAATTAAAACGAAATAATTATCAAACGGGTTCTTTTTAGCACCTTGCTAGTTAAGTTTGTGATGTTCTTGATTTTATGTGTGTGTATATATATATATATGTGTATGTGTATGTGTATATGTATATATGTATATGTATATGTATATGTATGTGTATGTGTATCAGTGTATGTGTGTGTGTTATAGAAGGGTTTAGTTTACGTGCAAAAATCTTCCATCCGCATGCAACAGATGATGGGCAGAGCGGCCATGTTTTGCACAGATTGACTGAAAAAATTGAGCGCTCCTTTTCTGTGTGCTTCAGTTAGCTGTTTGCTTCTTTAAGAGGTTATGTGCGATTTCTGCAGAATCTCTTTGGATGTCTCAGCATACATAACATACATACAAACATACACGATATCATTCATACATACATACATACATACATATATATATGCTTATAGGTGATATCATACATTTGATTTACTCCATTTGGTAAAGGAAAATTGTTTATGTGCTTAAATTCCAAAAGTTTACTTGGAAAGGTCAAGCAATAATTTGGAAACTTTTTGTCTTTCTAAAAATAGTTGGTAAGGAATAAGGATCACATAACAATTTCGGGATGCTTACTAAATATGGCAAATTCTTCCCCTTCCATATCGAGATTAAAGTCATGGTCCCCAGTTGACTAAAAACTGATCCAGAATAGGTATGCCGATAATTTGACGAACAGTCCAATTTGCCTTAGAGTGTAAGACGGGCTTGTCATTTATGGATGTACTGGTCCTCAAGCCCATCTCGGCCTCTTTGACCTAGATGACCAACGAGGTCATAGAACTCTTGACACAACGATATATTCACATTAATTAATTCACATAAATTAAGATATTTACTTTAAGTAACAGATGGAAGAATAAATTTATTGTGAACTCATCATTTATAAGATTCGAATGTAATATTTCACATTTATGAGTGAAGAGGAATATCAGTAGCATTATTTTTCCCAAAGTTACGGGGTCATTATGTCGAGTTCGCTCGACATTGTTCTCGCAAGAGTCCCAGTATACTTTACTTGTTCACCTATGTCGGTTTGGGGTAAGTTCACTGGCAAGATCGCCCTTCCAATTCGAAGTTTTTTCTTAGAAGTTTTAACCTTGTTGGCTATGACAATAGTCGCAACTATAAACACTCACAATTGTGACAGGACGGTACGCTCTACTCTCTCGCAACCCTGTGGTACTAAATTGATGAGGTCGTAGAACTAGAACTTTAAGATGAAAACGAAATTGAAAACTGAAAAATGCGGGGCACAAGTGTAACAAGCAATACTTAAGAAAATGAGAATTAACTCTTCTCTCATGACGTGGCAGCCAACGTTGTTAGGCTCATGTTTTATTCTTGGTTGAAAGTTAACTTTGTGCTAATGTAATATGAGAAAGTTAAACCCTCTTAAATAAAGAAAGAGAGAATTAAACTCAACATGTGGCAAGTAAACGTTGTCATGTGTGTGAATGAAATATGAGGAAGTTAAACTGTTTTAAAGAAGAGAGTGTCATTTAAACTTAATACGTCGCGGATAATACTGTTAAGAGCGTGTTAATAAAATATGAAGTATACGGCTAGCCAAGACAAACCCAATTAATGAAAGGCTTCATAGATTAATAGTCTCACAGTATTCAATTAATGCTTGATCCCCCATTAGTGTTGTTTGAGTATTAATGCTTGATCCCCCATTAATGCTGTTTGAGTTTTCTTGCATGTGCACATACGTGTACGTTTTGGTTATATTAGCATAACGATTCGTGAAATCTAAGGTAGGTTGGAATCGAGATGCATAAATCTGGCAAAGGATTACGGAGGCGCCTTCGATTTATTTTAAATAATTACATGTTAATTGAGACACTAATTACCAACAATTTGAAGACACTATTTACCAAATGGTACTTGTGTAGAGCCATATCTATTACAAGAAAGACGAGGTAGAAAGAAGATGAAGAATTGAAACATGGTCCGTCAACGAGATTAATTGAGTTGGTAATGATCGTTCTTTTCGCTAGATTAAGGTGTAAGTTCGAGTCTCACAATCTCTTTTAATGAGCGACCTATAAAAGCTAAAAGAATGATTAAGACTCATTTGTAAGTCCTCAAATAAATTTATAGTATGTCTGATCCTGGATGTGGTAGCATAAATCAAAGTTGGATGAGATTTATGAGTCCATCCTTTTAACTCTCTCTCTCTCTCTCTCTCTCATAGTTTCCTCTTCACGCTTGCCCACTTCTCTTTCCTCTTTCACCCTTCTCAACCTCTCTTTCTCTCCCTCTATATAAATCTCAATGCTGTAAATTTTGTAGTTTAAGTGTGATTGTATAAATTCTAAATTATATTTGATTCTAATTATTATTTTCTATATGAACTTGTATTCCTTGAGGACGAAGGATTTCTTCTCCCTCTTATTACTATAAATAAAGGCATTACGTAGGGAAATAACACACACATTCCTCTACACAATTCTACAAACATATCTCTCTCTCTTCTCTCTTTGCCGCCGGCCCCCTTCCCCTTGTCAGATAAAATAGGCCACAACACTCAAGTTATTTTTCATGAATTTTAATTCATGAACAACACTTAATTGGTTGTTATTTTTTAAAAATAGTTCAAATTCTTCTTTGGCGAGAATCAAACCTAAGACCTCTCATTTACAAATAAAGAGAAATACCATTAGACCGTAGTACTAAATAGGTAGTTAAAAAAAGGTAAAAAAATTAAATATTAAATACCTCCTTATTTTAAAATGTAACGAATGTTTTGTTTAAAAAAGGTAAAAAATTTGCAGAGGATTCTTATTTCCTCTTTAAAAGACACCTCCTTATTTTTTTGGTTCAACTGAAAAGCCTCTGTAAATAGAAAAAGGTTTGCACTTTGTGTGCATTTTAAAGAAACTCACAAAATAAAAGGAAAGAATAATTGATTTTTTACCAGCCGAAGAAATGGGAACTGATTTTCCACAAAAGGGAATTGTGTATGTTTATAAATACCACCCAGTTTTTCTCAGACCAATTACTCCAAGGAAAATTTTATTTAAACTCATTTAACCTCTTTTTACATCCAACTTAAAATTTAAATGTGAGTTGTCTTTTTAATCTTATTACATAATTATCATCAAGTGCAAGATGAAATTAACAATAAAAATAAAAGTTATCAACAAACCCACACTCAATATCTAAGAGCTAAAAACAAGCTTTTTATTGATGAATAGTGATTTTCAATTCTCGACCATCAATGCTGAAAGTTGAGAAGATGGGTTTTTGGATTTGCTATGCTTTGTGTGTGGTCATTACCTTTAGGAGTCTAATTGCTTATGATTTGATAGTGTAAAAATTGAGCAAAAAGTAGTAAAAAGAGAAAAGATGACGTTCGTGTAGCTTTCTACGATCATTACAGTAACACTCATGAAAATAAATGAGCATATTATTGGCTAATTGTAGCGATTAGTGTTGCAAGATTTATCCCAAACCTTGTAATATGCTACTGTTTTTTTCTGGATCTCTATTAATACAAACTCGTGTCGTTGCTTTAAAAAAAAAAAAAATGGAATGACACATCTGCTGAAAATTGGTTCATTAGGA